ATTTAAATACTCATATAGCTGATCAAAAATCAGTTTTTCAAAAATCTTAGCAACACATGAAATTACGGATATTGGTCGATAGTTGTCCATATCATCTTTTCTACCTTTCTTAAAAATCGGCGTAACTCTTGCTAACTTCCATTCCGTTGGGAATATGCCAGTAGTTATAATCTTATCAAATATTAGAGTTAATGATGGGGCAACGATTTCAGCTGCAAGTTTTAAAAGTTTGCAGGGTATTTTATCCAGACCTGATGCTTTCTTTTCGTTAATCGTTCTTAATTTACTACAAACTGTATTTATTGTGGGGGGTGTGAGAATGTGGTTTCAGTTGGCTCAATATAAACCTCCGGTTCCACAGCAGATGGTGGTATATCAGATGCTAAATTCTCACCTACTTTTGCAAAGTGAGAATTAAACATTTCGGCTATGTCCTTAGGCGCATTTATTGTTTCTTCGCCAATTGTAATATTAGATATGGTCTTATGACTAGAATTATTACGAGAGCTTAATTCATTAATAAGTTTCCAAGTTGACTTTGGATTGTTCTGGTTGGTCTCAAGGTTATCAGTAAAGTATTGACTTTTCACTTTTTTAATTTCATTATTCGTAGAGTTCCTTAATGATTTATATTGTTGCCAAATCAATGTGTCTCCAGTCATTTTTGCTTTCTTTTTCAAAAAATCTCTCTGGCGCATTTTTTGTTTTAATTTTTTTCCAAGGGGATTTCTTTTTCCCAATTCTTTTTAATCTGAGTGGAGCATGTTTATCAATGCAATTAAGTAACATCCCTTTCCATCTTACCCACATTTCATTAGGTTCATTGCACAAATTTAATTCTAACCATTGCTGTTGTTTTAAATCTCCTATAAAGTTTCCTCTATGAAAATTTTTCATACTCCTTATTTCAACTAATCGCGCTTCCGCTTTCTTATAATGAACCTTATGTGTCATATAAACTAAAACATGATCACTTATGGAAAGATCAATTATACCTGAGTTTATGATCTTTGTTGGGGCATTTGTAACGCAAAGATCAATTAGCGTTGAGGAATATGGTGTAGTTCTAGTGGGTTCTTTAATTAGTTGTGTGAGGCCAAAAATTTCAAATATATCATTTAATTTATTAGCATTGGCTGATGTTGCTCCCGGCATAAGGTCCACATTTATGTCACCTAATAGAAAGTAGTCATGATTCGTCAAATCTACCTTCTGTATTATTTTCTCAAAATAATCAAAGTAATACGTTGGCAGATCTGGAGGTCGATACCAAGTGCTAATTAAAAGAGATTTAGACCGAGGCTTAGTTATTTCAACTGTTAAATATTCTAAATCGTCAGAGCTTAAATCATCGCAAATTTTGTAATTAAGGTTGCATCTTTACATAGAAACAAACACCACCCCCATGTCTCCCATTTGTTCTCCTATCTTTCCTTACTATTTCATAGCCGGGTATATGGACTTCGTTATCTCCAATTAAAGAATCAAGCTTTGTTTCGTTAATTGAGATAACATCAATATCAGATTCTTTCATAAATATTCGAAATTCATCAATATGCGCAAAAAGGCTATTAATATTTAGTGAGGCCATAACTAGACCTTTGCCAAATGGTTTATAATTAATATTAGTACACTTACGATTTACACTCGGTAGCACCGATTCAGACTCCCGCACAGCAGATTGGTCGTCCACACTACCTATTATTGACGTTCGCCAGATCATTGTTATTTGTGGCATAAGTACTCTTTTCCGCGTTATATAACGATTTGTCTAACGATGAATTCTTTTCCTTGGCGTCTGTGGTATGATCATCCTCAGAAGCTCCCCAGATGATGAAGTTCCTTCGGAAAATCCTCAACAGTTGGATGTGAAAGTCGCCGAAGAAATTTGATAAAATGGACAGCCAGGAGCGCTGATCCCTTTGTATTAAGGTGTAACTTAGAGCCATTGAGGCAGGATTCGTCTATGTTCTTATTTGCGATGAATGTATATCCTTTTTTCTTGCATAGATTGTATAGTAATTTATTGGTTTCATGAATCTTTGTTGCTACGTCAATATCTCCTCTCGATATTAGGCCAGATATTGCGATTCTGGCATCTTTAAACTTGTTTTGTACTGTGGAGCTTAGATGCTTAATATTGTCGCAGCATTCTTTACTCGAGTTCTGTATTAAGTTATTCGTTCCAGCGTGTATGATAACATCTGTGGGAGAGGAATGCACATGAGCTTTTTGGAATTCATTTGCTATTTCCTCAGCTCTTTTCCCAGGGTATATTAACTTTCGAACTGAGCTTTTTGATATCTTGTGAGGATTAATATCCTTGATCATTGAATCTCCAATTAGTAGGATGTTTCGCTTGGATTTTGTGCCTTTATGAGTTGTGTTAGTGTTCTCATTCCGATGACCAGTTTCCAAGGTTTTGTCTAAAGATACTTTGCTCACAGAATCATTGGCATCGTCTTCTTGATCACTGATGCTGAGGACTTCGTACCGATTCTTTGACTCAAAAACGCTTTCAGATGTATCTTTACTAGAGCTCTTTACTTTGGTATAATCCCGTTTCTGTGTTTTGCTTCCATCATTGAGGTCTTCTTGTAGGGATCTTGCAGCTGCTCTTAAACTATCGTTCTCAGTTTCCAGTTCTTTAATTCTCTCCCTCTCCGCCGGTAGAACTTTTTCACGTTGGACCAGCTTCAGTGAGGTCATCAGACTCGATTTCTCTTCCTGGAGGTCCAGTACTTTAGCTCTAGCTTCGGACAGAGATTGGAACAAGTTCCTATTTTTCTCTTTTAGCTCGTTATTTTCCCGGTTAAGTTGCAGTTTTTCCTTCCTTAACTCGTTAACAACGTCCTCTAAGACCAGGATAGCATATGCTTTGTTCTCTTTAGTTTCTTTAATTGTTGAAATTTCATCAGCAAGAGCCTCTAGTTTTTGAGTAACACTCTGGGTATATTTCTCTAGCTTAGATTCAATTTCGTAAACTTCTTTTGGGTTTTTGTTGAAGTTTGTACTATTTAAATTACTTGTGTAGTTTTGATCATTTAGCTGTATCTTATCAGTGTTCAGGTTACAGTCTCGTGAGTTTGTATGCAAATTACTGTCTGTTGACTCCGAGATGAAATGCAAATTCCCGATCTTTGAGCTTTGATGTTTTGCAATGGCTTCGCCGCCTGTTTGTGATTCGAGTAATTCGCTATCGCTTTCCACAGTCTCTCTCGTTTCGGTCAAGGGTTCACCGTCCGCTATGTGTTCAGATGCTGCCTTATTAGTTAGATATATGTCTTTGACTAGGTCTTTGATTTTGAGAGAGGCTTCGCCTTCGAATGACAATACTAACGATTTCTTCGAGTATTTTATTGTTATTTCATCGCTGCTAAAGAGCTTAGTTGATCCACCAGGTGATGTCCAGTTGCCTCCTAAACCCAAGCGCAGCTCGGTAAAAGCTTTCAGATCTTCGAAGGAGCCATTCCATTTGATTTTTGATCCCTCGACTACGAGTTGATTGTTGATAGTCGGTTGAGTCGAAGATTCGCTTTGATTTATACTCGCCATGGTGTAGGCAAATTAAAACCGTAATATGTACTAAGCCAATTGTAGTTAGAAATTTTTTAACAGCAGCAATTACTTGGCGAATTCACAATATTTTCAGCGGAGCCCAAAGTACACGTCTACACACGACCACGAGGTAACGTTAAAACGGTTCTTTGAAGAGACGGTGGAAAGAGTGGTACGAAAACCTGCCAGGCCAGTACACGGTCCCTCGAACTTTAGCCCCTCACAGAGAGCCAGTACAGTCAATCACCCTTCACGGATTCGGGGATGCCAGTAAGAACGGAGTTTCTGCGGTCGTCTACGCAGTCGCAGAGCAAGAGAGCGGAACAACCCAAGGTATCGTGTGTGCAAAGTCCAGACTTGCGAAGAAGAGCCTCACGATTCCCCGTTTAGAGCTTGTCGCTGGCCATATGACCGCAAACTTAGTGACGAACGTCAACCAGGAGACGTGGCCACCGGAAGTTGTGCCTGTGGCGAGTTCGGATTCGAAGCAAGAGGAAAAACCGTCGACGCGAGTTTTGGTCACGATGAATCAAACGGCACACGAGGACGTGTTTGACCAACTACTAGAGCGGTATACGTTGCGGAAACCCTTCGAATTTGTGCTTGGATTAACCGCTTCATTCAACACACCCAAAGGAAAGCGAAGTCCCTGGGACCGATAAAGACGCAGGAGATCGAAGACGCACGGTTGTGGTGGATTAAACGAGTTCAAGATGGAGCTAGGGACGCACCGGAATTCGAGAGTACGAAAATCGAGCTAAACCTCCAACCTAACCAGAACGGAATTCTAGAGTGTCGCGGGCGAATCGAAGGCGAGTATCCGGTATACTTGCCTGCAAATTCGCAGTTTTCGAAGAAACTAGTCGAACAAGCGCACATCATCACTCTTCACGGGGAGTACCGGCGACCATGGCTGAAGTTCGTGAGCGATACTGGATACCTAGACTACGTCGCCTTGTGAAGCAGGTACGAAGCAAATGTCATGGATGTGTGCGATTCCGCGCTCGTGCGTATCACAGACCACCGCCTGGACGACTACCAGTTACGCGAACGCAAGGAGAAACCCCATTCCAAGTGATAGGAGTCGACTTCGCTGGACTAATCAAATACAAAACAGCAGGAAAAGCGGAAAAGAAAGCGTATCTGGTACTTTACGCGTGCAGCCTCACAAGAGCAGTTCATTTGGAGCTGTTGAAATCATTGGAGGTTGTCCAATTTCTGCCTAGCCTAAAAAGATTGATCGCTCGAAGGGGGAGACCACAAATCATATACTCAGATAATGCCACTACGTTCAAGGCTGCGGCAAACTGGCTGAAAAAGGCAATTGGAAATGAGATCATAAACGGTTTCCTTACGGACAAGGAGATCCATTGGAGGTTTAACCTGAGTCGCGCACCCTGGTGGGGTGGACAGTTCGAGCGGTTGATCGGGCTCTTTAAACGATGTTTTATAAAAGTATCGGGAACGGTAATCTAACCTTTGAAGAATTATCAGACGTGATCCTAGACATAGAAGTTGTAATGAACAATCGACCGTTAACATACGTTGAAGACGACGTAGAACAAACTGTTCTCACCCCCGCAAGAATGTTGCAGATAAATCCAGTTATCTTACCTGAAGTGGAATCTTATCACGTTGAGGACCACAGCCTTCGGAAGAGAGCGAAGTTTCTTCGTAGATGCAAGGATTTGTTGTGGAGACGGTGGTATAGAGAATACGTTCGTGGGCTAAGAGATCGACACCGACAAGATAATGGGAAAAACGCAGATCATCCCAACCGTGGTGATGCTGTTATCATCGAAGGAGAGGAGAAGAACAGAAATTTATGGAAGATGGGCGTAGTCGAAGAGCTGATTCGAGGGCGTGATGACGTAGTACGGGGAGCAAAGATCAGGACGCCAAATGGAATTCTTGAACGTGCAATACAGCAACTCTACCCGATAGAACTTTCCTGTGACTTACCACCTCTAACCACGTTAAACCCAGACACCCCTCCCTTCCAACCCCGACCGAAACGTGATGCAGCAGCAGCGGCAGCGATCCGCTTACGGGATCAAGCAGAAGAAGATGAACGGTGACACTTATCCATATTAGGACACTAATATTAGATTGCATTTAAGCTTGAATCAGTGGCACTAGCTCAGACCCTTTGTAGACATATATCACAGCACTAAGATATATGGGGGGAGTGTGTCGGGACTGAGCGACAACGGGGCGCACGAAATAATAGGTGATGACACGCACTGCACAGAAATGGGAAGCAATATGGGTAAAATAAGGGATCTGCACAAAATTGAGTCAGTTGGTGATAGAGGGTCATAGTGTGCGAAACGGTCTGTGACTCGAGAGACGCGATATTAATTCGACATAGCTGCAACGTGAATTTTGAGTGAAGATTTAGTATAACTTTTAATTTTATTTGTTAATTCAATATATTTCATAAACCCAATCGAATTTGTGTGAATTGAGACTTGTCGAGGACAAAACGATACCGAACGGAGGCTAATTCTCGACGACAGTAGTAAAAGTGGACTCCGTCAGAGCGGTCTTTTTTATGGTTACGAAAAAGACGATACCGGATGAGGCACTTATTGGAGGAATTATCACTTACAATAACACTTTCGAACATTGAAATTATGCAATCCTAAAGGACGGGAGAGGAAAGGCTCCAACACGCTTCAGGTGAATGTGACGCGCCCATAAATTGAAAAGAATCACTGTAAGCCGTGTGAGCACATCCCAAACTTAAATACATAAACAGCATGCATGGTGGAAATAAAAGAAGTCACACATCAATGGGAACGGAATGATTATATAATTTACGTTCTTCTGTATTACTACTGATTGATTACATTGATTGCGCAGAAAATTAAGCTTCGCGTTTTGGGCCAAGAGAAAACGACACCTTAGCTTAGCTCTATTAACTTAGCAAGGAGATCACGATAGATTATCGTTTAAAGAAAAACAAAAGGATTTCCACCCGTTCGTTTAAGCTTTCTAAAACATCTCTTATACTAGAAGATGAACTACTTAACTATAATAGCTGCATTATCTCTCATTCAATATACTACGAGATCGGTTGTTCAAAAGCAAGCTGACCTAATTCTAGATTAACCGAAATCAAACTTTCCAACTCTTATACCATCATAAACATGCTGATCTCTAACATAAAAGGCCTTGCAAAAATACATTACCAAAAATCGCGATTTCATACAGATTTAACTCATGAAGTGTTATAGCGCCAATCAATTTCAAACAACCGACCTGCATATTCACTATTAATCATAACTGCGCAAATTTAAGGCATTACATTTGACGTGATATATGGTAATGCCCTATTTCATATATTTGGGCCCGCTAAATTTACGGTAATTAACTAATTCACTTTCTCAGGATTCGTACAGGTCAGGAAGAAATCCAGGAAACACTGCATGAATTCGAGGAATTTTTTAAACAGAAAATAGGGCGTTTGAAGTTCGCTAAAAGTGGTTTCAGACTGCGGCATTTATCGTGTTTGGATCAGGCCATCCAAACACGGAAACCATCAAGTGTTGAATTTTTAGTCATGAAAAAAGAATTAAAGTACTTTTCATGATACCTCTTTATGAGCTGAAGGACCACCATGAAGCATATTCATATATCCAAAGACTATCAATTTTTGTACGAATCCTGTATCGTTTATACGAGTGATCCGAAACTAAAGGTTGGTCATTAAGTAACTCGCTTATTTTTTGAGAGCAAAGGGTACATTTTTTCTCGCAGATAAAATTTCAAAATTGATTTAATAAGAAAATTTAAAAAGGATTGCATGATACCCAAAGAAAAATAATTACCAAGGAATAAAAGGAAATCAAGGAAAATGCGACAACGGAAAAAAATTTTGGCGTATCACAAATATGTCTCAACCAGAATTAACTTACTGGAAAAAAAATTATATCCTATTATACATGTTACTTTAATGCCTTATAATAACTGGCTATGTAATTGTGGCTACAATGTTAGAACGAGCACTGGGAGGTAGTGAATTAAAATAACATTTTTCATCATTACGTGCGAAAGAAATTTCCTTATAGTGGGTAAATAATAGCAGACAGAATATAAACAAAACAAAATAAACACATATAACTCAATAATCGATTTAAAAAATAAAAGCCTATGTGAAGCCACCCTATGTGAAAGGCCACCAAAATAACCCGAGAGAAGTTTGCCCATAAAACTCCTGTTGTTGGACAGAAAATACGACAGACAGCAAAACACAGTAAGAAACATCTAAGAAACATAACTCTGAAGGGTGAAAGACATTGAGAATGAAAAATGACGAAAAATGTGAAAAAGCTCAGAAAATTGGAGCAGTACATAAAAATTAAAACATTTTGGCTAAAGTTATAACGTCCAACAGTTACTTTATGACCAGTTCCTTATATCACTCTTGAAACAGCTCAAATAAGCTTATAGAGATATATTCGCTAGTGTTGCTATTATCAAGCTGACGATGTTTTTATTCTATTTTATAGTAATCTTATATATACTAAACATGCAAAAGAAACAAATGGGTATTTTACAAAGAAATTTTAAGAAATTTCTAATTTTTATTATTTTTCACAGCAATAATACTGACCTTTAACTTACCGACTATACAGTTTCTCAGAAACTCCAGTTCTCTTGATAACTCCTGCACCAGGGCTTTTAACTCTTCATTTTCCTGTTTAAGCTGATTTTCCTGTTGACTCAAACGAGCTTTTTTCGACGGTTTGCGGACACGAGTTGTTTTGCCACGAGTTGTTTTGCCACGAGTTGTTCTGCCATGAGGTGGTGCCACGCGAAGTCCTTCTTCACCTACAGATGAAGCATCACCAGAAGCAACGGGATGTCCTTCTTCAACCCCCGATGAAGTACCATCAAAAGATGCGGGCACCAGAAGGCACGGGAAGTCCTTCACATGAAGCTACATCTCTAGAGCAACAGGGTTGTTGTTCCATTTTCTTCTTAGAAACAGGGACAACAGCTTCGATATCTTCCCTGTCCTTTTCAAATAGTCTTTTTCTACTGTCAGGATTCACAATGGTGGTATCGTGGCTACCGAGAAGGGGAGGGGATATTTCAGCACTGGTGTACTCGTACGACTGGCTGGGTAGAGGGATGGTATTGTTTTTAAGAACGGATTCTGTGGCAGGATGATCAGCACTGCAATCACTATTACGCTCAACAGTCAGTCCAAGGCATTCAGCTGCCGTATCGAACTGAATGTTGTTGCGGGGTAAATTACCGACAAACACGCTGGAATTAGAGGTGCCTACGAGTATTCCGGAAGGAATATTTAGGGTTACATTAGGTACTGTAGTGGTTAAAGCAAGGTTCCTGATTGGTTGGAGAGTTCCTCTGTTGGGTTCTGAGACCAAATTGTCAGTCGTGGGCTCAGTGTTAAAAGAGTTCATATTTGACTCTGCTGACATTGTTGTCAGATTCATAATTTTTTCATGGAAGACTTGATTAGGTTCTTCCAATGCACCGAGCAAATTCTCAGTGGTCAATAGAAATTCGTCTTCAAATTCTTCTAGAATTCCTTCTGCGTCTCTTGGAACTGAGGAATTCCTAGTATTAATCCTGTGGATCTCACTGGGCCAAAGTGATTCCTCTTGAATTTCCTCGGCAATTTCGTGTGCAACAACGTTGTATGTATCTGAGGAATCCCTATTATCAGACTGGAAGATCTCAGAAGGCAAGGAAAGATCCTCTAAAACGTCGTAAAATGGAACGTGGCTTTGGCCAAATAATCCCGCATCATCAAAATTCCATATGTTATTCAGAAAATCATCTGGAAAAAAACCTACATTGAAAAAATATAATATTTCAATTTTTAAAATAATTTTACAACATTGGTAAATAGTCTCTTACTTAAGATGCCGCCTTTTGTTACAGTCGTGCCAATAGAAGCGTTCCGAAAAATGTTGACCAGTTCATTTCCTAACTTGAAGGAACACATCTGCACAATTCCTCAACAATTTAAAAAGTTCCTTAAAAAGTTCCTAACTTCCTGTTTCATTGACCAATCAAATTTTATATTTTATTTTTGAGCAATCTGAAACAGGAAGTTAGGAACTTTTTAAGGAACTTTTTAAATTGTTGAGGAATTGTGCAGATGTGTTCCTTCAAGTTAGGAAATGAACTGGTCAACATTTTTCGGAACGCTTCTATTGGCACGACTGTAAGTTTACCAAAATAATTCATTTTCTCCTTTTACCTTCGAAATTAGATAGATTGTTATCATCCTGGGGGGAAATTCCCGCCATATTTGTGGAGGTTCCTTCCTCCAAATTCGCCTTTTTGCCTTGAAAACGACTTCGCTTCTTGTTTTACAGGCGAGAGCAAGTTGTAGTCGTGTGGCGTCTGTGACTTGTATCAATAAACTACAATCTCGCTCAGAGTTCGCATTGTCATCTTTTGATAAAAACATGTCAGAACAGCCACAGTTCAATTTGGAATAAGTTCTCTTCTTCGATGAAAATTTCTCCGAATAGCTACAACCTTTCTTGGAATACACGCTCTTCTTTGTTAATAAAGCCTTTCTTTTTTCACACCTCGATTTTTTCTTTTTCATCAAAATCTGCAACAAAATTTGTTACATCCAGTAAACTTTACGTCGCAAGGATTTCGGAAATAGCTTAAAATACTCCAGTCCATACTTTAAGAACAAATCAAACAAACGGTAGAAGATTTCTTAGATTTATAAATATTACAAGAAAGCGCGTGTGATCATATCAATGGCAGGCCCGTCGGAAGTGAATTAGGATTGGGGGGCGTAGGATTTTAACAAGTGACTACGTTTCAAGGGATTCGGGGAAGAAAGAGCATTTTCTCGTATATTTTTGGGTGTAAAATTTTAAGAACACGATCTCGTTGTGATCTCAGCGACTGCTTTTAGCTAACGCACAAAACTAAACATTAAAATAAAGCAAGGTTTGTTTCGCATGAATGTCAAGATTTATCGAGGCAGCTCCAGCCTGCCCAGCCCTCCCACGCGTCCGACGGGCTGATTACTGTCTACGTTTCAGACGGTCAAATTACCATTGTATTGTCATACGTATTAAAGGTGCAACTTCCTCTATACGTACCTTGTTTGCCAACGATATCAGGTGGAACGTTATTGATATGATATTCTCCTGATCATGCCCGAATATAAAAAAAATAAAGCATACAAGGCGCTGTAAAAAAGCAACCCAAAATGGAGAGTATTAGCTCAAACTCCAAACAAATCCTGTCCGTGGACAGGTGGTATTTGTGGACCCTCCACCGTCGATATTTCACTCGGCTTCACCTCTTCGACCGGTCTCGGGTCCACAAAACATAATAATTCCTTCCCTCGCGGTAAATAAGTGTTAAATATTCTGCAATCAAAATGTGTATAGATGATTTAAAGGAAAATAAATGGCAGTGAAGGTTAACTGATTATTGACCGAGCGTGAGGTCTTTCCTCTGAAATATCAGACCGGTAGAGGCTTTTTAATATGAACAAGACGCCGTTCTGGCGTTAACTCCGGCGCACGTGCCAGTCTTCAATATAGAGCTTCTGAACATAAACAATACAGTTCGCGTATTGTTTCGCATACATATTCGCATTTAGATGCCTTGCGAACCTAAATGTTCGATCGCGAAATTCAGAAGCACATCGCAGTATAGAAGTTCAATTGTTCAAAAATGTAAATAAACCGCATGATACATTCGTTTCGTCTTACACTTTGCCTTTGGAATTCGCGCTTATATAGTTGTATTAAATCTTCGATCCTGTGCAAACTACGCGACGTGTCAACGCGCCCATACACGACCACATCATCTTGTTAAACGGTGAAATAGCAGCGATATTATTAAAATAGGACCGGAATCTACATGTATTAAATATATTCTTACCCCAATTCAATCTAAACTTAATCGAACAGCATTAAAAGGACGGTTTATTTGTTCCTCTTGGAGGAATTGCCGTATCATGCGAGCGAAATCGAATCGCGCATTTGAAAATTACCCAAAGCTGTGCACCACAACTCTTGGGAGATAAGACTGGGACGTAGATAAATACTGTCACATACACGTTTTAAATACTAGTATATTTCGCGCCATTACAGACTTGCGACGACGAAAAAAAAAAAAAAAAAAAAAAAAAAAACCGGGGCGAATTTTCAACTCCGTCGCTGACGCCGGAGTAATAAATATATGGCCTCACCCCTACTTAACGATCTTCGCGGCACCTGACCCTTTGTATACGACTTTTTTACTATATCATTTATGTTTTCTAAAATACATTAGTTCACTAGTATACCTATACAGGCAATTATAAAATGTAATGTTTCACATTCTCACCTGGTTTGGCATCTTCACACGCACATTCACATTCACCTTCCTAATCAGCTCCTTCATCAGTTCATCCGACTCCAAATCCAAATCCAACATCATCTCCATCTTCTCCAGCTCATACCTCATGTTAAGGGCTATGTGGACCTTCATCGTTAATTTTTTGAGTAAATTTTAAAATAACATGTATAAGTGAAAACGTAATAAGATATGTTGAAAAATTTGTGTGGGTTAGCATGTGAGAATAGAAAGTGCAGAAATATTTTTTCAGGAAGTGAGAGCACAGTGGTCATAGCAACTCGTAATGGCCGTCGTATTTTTCATAATTTATCTGTTTTTGTGGGAAAAGTGGCAGAAAATACAAGATTATTATTGAAAATAAATTACCTAACTGCTGTCAGCGTTATGGTAAATTATTTTGAATTTAACTGTAAAATATAACGTCTGACTTTTCATAAAACCTTTTTTGTAAGGCATCATATGTTGTTTTGATCTTGTTTTGCGCTTATTGAAACGGAGTTTGCAAATTGAATTATACAGGGTGTATCAAAAAAAACGCAACCACTTAATATTCATGATATCCTCTTTGTTCTACAACACAAAAGACGTTTGGTCCCTGGAATGCGAGAAAGCTTGTAATCATATTCTAGCGGCACAATCGTCGGTAAACAAAGTCGGGTGCGTAAACCAACGAGCTGAATTGAAAGTATTTAACGAGTAAAATTTTATTTACAATTTATTTTACAAGGTCGACAGTTAGCATTCAAGTTATCATGCACGACAATAAAAACTCGTTGTTCGGTTGTTAGCTGCACCATTATTAGTTTAGCTGATTTGACTATTAGCAGTTGAACAGTACGATTAGAAGCCATTTTAAAATCCCAGGGGCATAAAATCTATTGAGCTTATGAACAATATGAATTTTAGAATATTAAGTGGTTGCGTTTTTTTTGATACACCCTGTATATATATCTAACAAATAAACCATTAGCACAAAGTCGTATATGGATTCGCGATCAACGAGGTAGACGAAAGCGAAGGGTATAATTGTTTTATAATATAGCTACTATAAATAGCATTTTATGAGCGAAATAAACATTGTAAAAAAATTAACTAGATCGGCTATTGATTTGCCAGCCAATCTTTCGCTAAATCACTGTGGCTGAATGTTTACATGTTCAATTAACAAAAATCTGCATATATTGGTCATATAATGGTCATATATCAACTCTTAAGATTCTCCATTACCTCCATCTTCAACTTTCTGATCTTAACCATCATCAGTTTTTCCGACTCCTGCTCCAAATCCAACGTCTTCTCCATCTTCTTCAATTCATTGTTCAATTCATTCATGACGTCATATGTTTTGTATCTTGCCTAATTTCACCAAAGATAAATAATTTTAGATTGACTTTTTTTCCATAATCAATGACATCATTACACTGATATCATAGACGCATCTGAAATATTACATAATTAGATCTAAAGCAGTGTACTACGCTTTTCCGTAATGATTAACGACGAAAATAACAACGCTCGAAAACGTTACCGTGTACACATGGTCTAACCCTTTATTATATTAGCTTCGCGGGCATTGCGGTGTATTTGCGGGCTAAAATGATAAATTTGCCGGGCTGAAATATATTTAAGCCCGCTGATCTAAACCAATCAAGAGAATGACTGAAGTGTTTACCTATTGCATATTTTTTTATACATAAATTACGCTTGAAATTATCGTGTAAAGTTATCAACTCTAATTTCAAGCAATTATATAGACTATACAATTCTATCCACATCGCAACGCACCGTTGACATCCATGACACGATATCCTCACGATCCAGCTCCGTCACCAGGTTCTTCACCAGGTTCTTCATTACCTCCATCTTTAACTTCTTAATCTCCTCCACCGTCAGTTTGTCCGACTCCTGCTTGAAATCCAACGTCTTCTCCATCATCTTCAATTCATTCATTACCTGCTCTGTCTTGTTTTTTCCCTAATTACACCAAAGATAAGTAATTTTAGGTTGACTTACTTTACATAATGAATGACATCATGCATGAGAGAAATGCAATATTACATATGAAATAATCAACAGCCAGACGGTTCGTACAGCATAGGTAATGATTCACAACGAGAAGGTTCGTACTATTCAGTTATCAAAAGATATCTACATTGTATCAAACTAAAATTATATTTGAATGTGATATTGTCTTAACGCCATGTCCACACGATCTAAGGACAAGGGAAAATTTGCTGAATATGTTAAATTAGCTTCAATTTTCTCTGATTTCAGGTAATGAAAGATACTACGCAATGATATTTACGTACCCATGAGGTGTCACGCTCACCATCCAGCTCTCCCGGCAACTCCCTCACCGCGATCTTCATTACCTTCATCTTCAACTTCTTAATCTCCTCATGCATCAGTTTATCTGGCTTATGCTCCAAATCCAACATGTTCTCCATCATCTTCAAATTATCCATTGCGTCCGTTGCCAGGATTGTTCCCTGATTTCGCGAAAGATAAATAATTTTCGATTCATATTTCTTACAATAATTAATAGCAATACAATTACATACATCAAATAAATGGCTGCGAAAAGTTGTAGAATAGCCAAACATACAGTACCGCAAAAGTTCAGAAAAGTATTCCTATAAATCAGTAAAAGTACTCGAAGAAGGCATAAAAAATTACTGTATTTTAACATTAGTCAACTCTTTTGTGTTCACTGTACGTCTTTCATCGAGAATACGGTTAATGTTCTCGTCAGAATCGTTAAATTCTTGATTTCAAACAAATTCCCACCATTTTTTACTTTTTTTTCATACACGGAGTTTTCCGCGAATTGATCTTTACCGGTTAATATAAAAAAAATCTGCCGCTGCAGCGAATACGGATGAGGTAAGTGCGACACGGAGAACTTATTGACAAGCAGACTAGTCCCTAGTTCTCCTTAGCGCGCCTTGCATTCTTGTGACGTAACCGGTTTCAACGCGCGGGAGAGAAATAGCCAAAATATTTTTAATTCTTGATTCAAAATGGCGGCAAGAAAATTTTTCTCAAGCAATACTGATCTCAAAATATTTGCATCAGGGACAAAATTAGGGAAAGTTTTTGAAATCTCAACATTTTGTGCTTATTGACACGGAGGACAATTTGATTTTCAGGTATATTATTGTAATTATTAAAAATAGTAGTGTGATAAACTTTCCGGTTTTGATTCGGAACGCAGTGGCTGGTACCATTCTGACTGACAAAGGCTTCAATCAACCAATGAAATTTTTGTGGATGTACGGTTTTATTTAGCACGTGGACGTAATGGAGGGTAATAGCTGGGTCAGTTAACTAAAGTTACACATTTAATCACAATGTTCGTTCGAGACATGCGCCCAGTAGCGTAGCCAGCCTGACGATTTGTCCCGCTATGCTAATATTTTGGTGTTCATTGACTGTGAAAACAATGAATTTCTAATTATTATTAATAATTATAATAACACGAAATTTACATAGCGGGACAAAATCGTCAGGCTGGCTACACCACTGTATGCGCCTGTATTGAAAAAGCTCACTCAAACTCGCACGTATTGAGTGTGGCATTGAAATTCTGTTATTACTGAATAATGTGGAAGTCGTTTTTTGATCAATGGCGAGATTTTTGATCAATCGGAAGATTTAAAGTGAGCTACTAAAAATCACCTAATGGAAATAGCCTCAATATTATCGTTACGACGTGATTTAGATCACCCACTCAACGAGTTTAGTGTGAGGGGGCTTTTAGATTACAGGCGATGCAAGCCATCGTATTACCTATAAGCCCTACATATTGAAGTACCGCCGATCAACTCTGATTTCAGACAATTATGGATATTACTCTATTTTATTTACGTACCGATGACGAACCCCAACAAACGAGCTCCTCAGCCAGCTCCCTCAGCAGGTTCTCCATTATTTTCGTCTTCAACTTCTTTATCTCCTCTATCATCATTTTATCCAACTCCTGCTCAAATTCCAACATATACTCAAACTTCTCCAAATCATCCATTACACTCAAACCCTCGTGCACTCCCTGATTGCACCAAGAAATAAATTTAAAATTGATAATATTCCACAAAGAATAACAATATAATTAGATCAAATTTCTTAACGCTAATAAGTATCATGACTAAGAGGATAGATCGAATGCGATATTAGATTTGAAATAGTTGTGTTTTGAGCTTTTCTATAATAGGGACCTTAAAGCCCTAATTCCACGAGCTAAATTTTCAAGCGAAATGCGAAATATTTCGCCTGGTTTTTTTGAATTGTGAGCAATGAAGCAGAATTAGTTTATTCAAGTAGTCGAAATTCAAAAGAAACATATTTCGCATTTCGCCGAGAGAAAGCGCCGGTGGAATTAGACCCTAAGCATGTAGGACGCGAAAGCGACGACGACGGCTATCAATACAATGGGTCATTGAAAGGAAATGAATAATTAAAGACCTGTGATGGGTTTTAGACGTCGTCTTCGTTCTGTTTACAACCGCAAAACGTCTTGCCCAGAACGATTGCATTTACAGCGAGCCCTACCTCAATTAGGCTCTTTAACGGATTATATCTCACTAATTCGTTACGTTGAACAATTTCACAAAATATATCGCTGACAATTTTTCCAAAATACAGTACTTTACTTGTTAACTCAGCCGCTACTAATTCCACTTTAAAAAGAGGTAACAATCAACGGACGGGTTTGCAGAATCGATAAAATCAACTCTGATTTCAGGCAATTATGGATATTAGCAATTTTACCCACGTACCCATGAAAAACCCTCACAATCCAGCTCCCTCGCCAGATTCTTCACCAGTTTCTTGACTACAACTATTTTCATATTCTCAATCTTCACCATCATTAGTTTGTCTGACTTCTGCTGGAAATCCAACGTGTTCTTAATCTTTTCCAATTTATTCATTACATTCCATACGTTGTTACTTTTCTAATTTCACCAAAATAGGTATTTTGAGATTGACAAGTTTTTCCATAATCATTACACTTATATCATATGTGCATCTGAATGGCCGAGAGAATTGCAATATTACATATAGGAGTGTGCTAAACTTCACTGTAATGATTTAGAAAAATGAGGAGGTTGGTTATTTGAATGTGCTTATCGTCTTGACGCCCTGTCCACATGATCCAAGTGAAAATTTGCTCAATATGTTAAATTAGCTTCAACTTTCATTGTAAATTAACGGTGTTGAAACCGTTTTGGTTTGATAACGAAAAAAAAACGCCCGAAAACGTTACCGTGTGCACATTGTCTAATCCTTTATTGTTAGTGGTTAGCCTAGGGTTGGAGTCTGCTTTAGGATTAAAGTTAATATGATTATATTCCTGGTTTTTGGTTATGGAATCACTACAAGCCCCGTCATTTCCTCAAATTACTCAACGGTATTGGTGAAGTAATAATCAAGAGAATTTCTAAAGATTTGTGCAGCGTGAAATTTGTACTGATCAAATAACTATTGCGTCGAATACATATCAACATGTTTATGTGTTAACTCGAATATGAAACAAAAAATTAAACAAAATCACAAAATATATCGCTGGCTATTAGTGCCAACTCAGCTGCTGCTAATTCCAGCTCACAAATAGGCCTACATATTGACAGACAATTATGGTCCGGCATATTACGCAATTCTATCTACGTACCAATGAAACGAAACGCTCACAATCCAGATCCTTCGCCAGCTTTCTTACCACGATCTTCATTACCTCCACCTTCAAGCTTTTAATCTTAGCCACCATCAATTTGTCCGACTCCTGCTCCAAATCCAACATCTTTCCAATCTTCTCCAAATCATCCATTACGCTCAACCCCTTATGCACTCCCTGATTAAACTAAAAAATATTTTAAATGGATAATGTTTCAGGATGAATAACACTAATATAATTAGTTTAAATTTCTGGATGCTATTTAAATGGCTGAGAGGAATGCAATATCACATTTGAAACGGCAGTGTGTTAATATTTTCTGTAATGACTGGCAACGGATGCAATAGCTACAGGATGATCAAATGAATATTCAATTATGTCAAATACATATCAAAGATTTACCAACATATAACTGGTATATGAACTCGAATTTCAGGTAATTTATTAAAAACTAAAGCAATTAATACATGAATTCACAAAATATATTGCTGAATATTTTTCCAAAATGTTGCACTAAAGCTACTTGTTAACTCTAAGAATCAGCTCACTTGATCTTGTCAACTACTAATATTCCACTATGAAATGAGGTAATAAATTACAGTAACGTACACAGAATCAATTAAAAGCTATTGTATCACCTATAATTAAGGCCTACATTTTGATTAGAACTGCCAACTAAGAAACAACTCTTCTTTTAGGCAATTGTGGATATTATGAAATATTATTTAACATACCAATGAAACGAATGGCTCACAATCCAGCGTCTTCACCAGGTTCTTCATTACCTCCATCATCAAATTCTTAATCTTCTCTATCACTGTTTTATCGTGATGCAACATCCTCTCCATCTTCTCCAATTCATCCATCCTTGTTGACACCTTGTTTGTTCTCTAATTTCACAAAAATAGGCAGTTTTAGACTGATATATTTTTCTTATATTAAGATATAATATATTAATTCAAATATTGCTGGATGCTAAATGGCTGAGAGGAATGTAATATATATTACATTTGAAATAGCGAAGTTAATTGATTCTCTGCAATTTGGCAATATATGCTATCTACGTACCGATAGACAAAAACACCATGCCACATTCAAACTCTTAATCTCCACATTCAACTTCTTAATTTCCTCTAACATCAGTTTATCCGACTCCTGCTCAAAATCCAACTTCTCCCCCATTTTCTCCAATCGATTCATCATCTTCTGTGCAATGTTTTTTCCCTGATTTCACAAAAGATATTGGTACAAAACTTTAAATCGATAATTTTGCACAATCAATGACATTAGAATGCAATATTTTAGATTATTTCTTTCCTTTGAATGGCTATCCCGATGTGCATGTGGTCACATTTAGCATGTTTATATACAAAGTGCAAGATAAACCATAAGACAGTGTAACAAATTACGTCAGACTTAAAATAATAACAGTGTTTGAAGACATGTGATATTTTGGGGGACTTATACCCTTTTGAAGATTCCATTTTAACATCTAACCATCCAAGTGTAGGTGCCCTTTAAAAGGTGCCAAATATTGCCCTAACGCCAAAAACTGTTTGATATTTTGCAATATTTTCGCTCATAAACTGCCAGCATGATACTGACCTGTGACTACATATTGATATATCAATTTTGTTTCATAATTTTATACTGACATGTTTCTTACATTCTTGTAAACTAGTATTTTTGTAATTCTCATCAACACCGTCGTTCCATCTCGTTTTATACCATCCATCTCGACCATCACCTCCCAATCCAATAAAGGATACGGTGTTTAGGATCAACACAAGGATTTTCAAATAGCCAATATACTTTGCAAAGTCACTTCGTCGTTTCAAACGAAATGACAATGGAACTATTCGGTTCTGCTTTTATAACTCCAAGCTAAGCGGAAGTGTTTCAAATTTCAATTTCATTGCAATATTTTGTTGCGTTCGGATGCAATCACGAGCTGCAATCGTCACTGACCTGTGTATTCAAAATGGACTGATGGTACGTCATATTACTCAAACAGCTACTCATGTATTATGATAACAATCGAATGGGAGGTCTTAAGAAATACCTACAATTTGTTGTTTGAACGCTTTTCAACTCAGTCAAATATTGATATGTTTTGCGAAACGATGTTAAGGTGTTTCAAAGCCCCAAAATCTATAAATTACGTTGCATGGTGACAGTCGATAAGTAATTTTGAACAAGTGTACTTGTAAAAAAAAAATTGTCAAAGTACAAATTTGCTCGTCTGTATGAGTCAAAAAAGAAAACTTGTCAAATAATGTGAGCACTTGTATGCGGTAGGCCAGCGGACTGGCATTATGCCGAGCCCCGGGCTCACGTTGTCCGCTGTATGATTCACATCACCGCAGCAAACTAAATTGTCAAAGTAAACTTGTTGCCACGTTCACACGAGCAAATAAAACCATAGGTAGCCCAGAAATCTGTTTGTGCTAAGCTTACTGTATTATATATTGGTAAGGTTGGTCTGAACGTATTGATAAGCCTGCCACACACGTGAGCTGAGCTAAAGAACACGCGTGGCTGCTAGCTCAGCAAGGTAGTCTCGTGTGCGGATAGCTCAGCTGTTAGCTCTCGTGTGCGGCGGGCTTTAACAAAGGTAAAATGGAAGACCTAGATAACTACACGGCTAAAAACTCATCAGGTTGTTGCATCAACATCGAACAATGTTGTGCTGCCCATATTGTTCAGAGTTGTTATCAACTTGGAACAATATTGTTACACCCGATTCAGTTCCAACAATATTGTTCCAAGTTGATAACAACTCTGAACAATGTGGGCAGCACAACATTGTTCGATGCTGTTCATATCAATGTTGCATCAACCTGATCGTTTTTAGGCGTGTATAGACCAATTTCCATCCTCCCCGACCCCATAGTCTCAAAGCTGTACGTGGAGAAAGCTGTTCATAGGCAATTGAATTGGTGACTATCTAAGGGAACAAAATATTTTAAGCCTTATTATCAACGTGGATTTCGAAAAGATCACTCCACAGAATTCGCAGCTCTCTCTTGCTCTCACAACTCGGAGACACATTATGAACAATGACAGCAGGGATTTTTGGAAAGCGTTTGACATCGTAGATCACCATTTGTTAATTGTTACTAAATAAACTCTCCGCTTTGGTTTGAAGACTATGTATTTTCCGAACCTGAGCTTATTACTGGTCTCCCGAAGGCTCAATACTTGGCCGAATGTTATTTGTGCTTGATGTTAACGACCTTCCAAATATTATGCGTATACTGCAGTATATACTTATGTATGCAGACGGCATTGTCCTATTCTTTGCTTTTCTTGCTCAGACTCAAATCAGTGTCTTAATAGCAATCCAAGAGAAGTTAAACCATAATCTCGAGCTAATGGGAACCTGGCTGCGAGATAATTGCTTGTTTCTGAACAAATCAAAAACAAAATCAATATTATTTGGACTCATGCAAGGCTCGCTGGTGTAAGTGAATTTAGCATCACGATTAACAGTCGTTCCATCTATAGCGCGTAACGGAATTCAAATATATTGGGGTTCTTTTTGATGGTCATCTTACGTGGAAATCTCAAATTAAATCTGGCAATCCAAGGCAACCTGGCAATCCACGCCGGCTGGCAAAAGGGTATAATATAGGGATGCTAGAACGAATCAGAAACAATTTAACACCTTATTGTGCGAATATTGTAGAATTATGTATGCTTTATTCGGCCTATCCTTGAGACACTGTGTGGAATTGCTGTCGCTCAGGCAGTGCATGCAAAGATTTAGAAAAATTGCAACGGCGTGCCACCAGGATTGCAACGAGAATACACGATAGTGATAGAGCTATGGGAGTGATGAAGTTCTCTCCAAAGTAGGATTTAGGAAAGACGAAAAACGTTTTCAAACTAGTGAGCAAATGTATTCAAGGACGGTGTCCTCAATTCTTTTTAAATTATTTCTCTTTCAATAATGAACGGACAGTGGAGTCTCAAGGCAAAGCAACAATTTACATCTACCTCGGGTTAGAACTGAACAAGCAAAGAAATCTTTTTACTATAATGGTTGTGTAGTTCAATAACAAGCATATTTGACTTTTCCTTCGTATATATATAGCATTTTAGTGTATTTGATGTAATATAAAACTTAAGGTTTTTTGGTCTTTGTTACATAATTCTAAGTTTAGATAGATTTATAATGGATCATGTATTTTTTAGAAAAACTATATACAGGGCTCCTCTTGATAACAGTGACCATTGCCACTGATTGGACAACCCTGTTGAAATAAAGGTTTATTCATTCATCCATTCATTCTAGGCCGCGACCATAATTATTGCAAAAAGTTCATTCTAATTTCAGGAACTCAAACTGAACTTGAACATAGTGAAAGTATATGTACTATAATAATTCAGGACTACCCCAAATATAATACATGTAAACAACGGTTATATATAGCACTTTATAGCTACATGTCGTTTCAGTTCAACATATCATAATACGTCGATCGTTTTAAGCCCCGTTTACACTACACTCAATTTATTGGCACGGCACGGCTAAAATGGGTACCCGTGCCTAGATTTATTCGTGCCAGCCCTTTATATTGGTAGCCTGAACATTAATAAAATTGGGCAGGAACTTTCTTTTTAGCCAGGCGTACCGTGCCAATAAATTGACTGTAGTGAAAACGGGCTCACTTTGCGTGTTAAGTTGCGGAATTGCAGATGAGATTTCGCGGAGAAAATATTCGACGAAGACGCCATTAACTTTTAGTGAGTTTTACCGTGCCAAATGCATCATTCTATTACTTTGCTTGAACACTGTTTCGCACACCTGAGTATGTTTAAAAAGCGAGTTTATACGTGAGATTGCAATTTTTAAAAACGGATTTTTTTAAAAAAAGAGTTGCGATAACTCTTCAAAAAAGTTTCGTTAGGGAGTCGATTGATAGTCCTTTCGAGATTACCGTTGCATGTTTGTTGTACACTTATCACTTATACGCACTTGATTTTTATCGGTTGATTTAGTATTATTAGTGTAATCATATAGTATAATAATTTGAGATATAAGGTATATGGACATAGCTAAATGTCACAGGCTGCAGGAAGGGGTCGTTTTGCTGTTCTAAGTTTAATTTAATATGGCAGAGTTTTCAGCAAAAATGCATAGCATTGCAATATTTTTGTTATGTTAAAATGAATGTACCGAACAGCAGCTATGCATGAGAGAAACGACGGTGCAAACACGAGTTTGGCATTTGCTTTCTTTAAATTCATAATTATATTCACAATACAGCTTACGTTTCTTGTGTTGACGAAGCGTTATCTCACTTCACTCACTGCATGCTGAGTTTTAGTTCACATCATTTCCGGAGAGAGATATCGGGCTATAGTATAGGCATGTTTGGGAACAGACAGTTGCACATTCGGGTGCGAAATTAAACGTCGTGCTGGAACTAACTTGCGAAAGGTCGGAGTTCAAATCGTGCTTTCGATAGCATGCACAATATTCTGGACGTACGCAGACTGGTTCCCAGTTGCTTTTGTCTTTGTCCCTTGTGTTGAACAATGGTTTAAATTTGATGCAATTATCGTTACTTTCCTGAGTTACTTGTTTTACATATATTGTATGGTCATTAATAAATTGTTTCATAACTTAATTATCTTATTGTATTTATTTTACTTATTTCTTTACTCTTGAAATCCTGTATTCAAAAAGCTCACTAACAGATTAAGGGTAAACATTTTAATATCAAGCTCTTATTTGGGTGGAAATATCGTCATAGAATTGCTGAGGACTATAGGCTGAGATATTTAGACTTCATGCGTTAAACGGCAAACGTATAAGCCACGTTAACACTACATTCCATTTATTAGCACGGCACTGCTAAAATGGGTATCCGCGGCCTTTGTTTTGGTAGCCTGAGCACTAATAAATGGGTATCCGTTTCAGCCGTACCGCGTGCCGTTCCACTAAATTGAATGTAGTGTAAACAGAGTTTTAACTCAAGGTGTTCACTTACTTTTGATTCGAGCTTTTACTCATTGACTTTTTAATGGCTTAAAAATGAATGGAAAATAAAACTGCAAAATATATTCCTTTCGGGTTGTCTTTTGAAAGCAAGACCTCAAGAAAATACAGTGTCGGGACTGAGCGACAACGGGGCGCACGAAATAATAGGTGATGACACGCACTGCACAGAAATGGGAAGCAATATGGGTAAAATAAGGGATCTGCACAAAATTGAGTCAGTTGGTGATAGAGGGTCATAGTGTGCGAAACGGTCTGTGACTCGAGAGACGCGATATTAATTCGACATAGCTGCAACGTGAATTTTGGGTGAAGATTTAGTATAACTTTTAATTTTATTTGTTAATTCAATATATTTCATAAACCCAATCGAATTTGTGTGAATTGAGACTTGTCGAGGACAAAACGATACTGAACGGAGGCTAATTCTCGACACCTGGCACCTCCGAGACGGGATTGCGAACTCGTTGAACAACGATGGAAGAAGAAAAAGAGAGTACTGTTGGGGAGACAGTTACGGAGATGGCCGTTCAACCAACCGGAGAAAGTATACCTCCAGAATTGACAAAGGCAGACATCGAATTGGAGACGAAATTATCCCAGCTGAAATTGAATTGGTTACGAGAAGGTCAGATAAAATCCTGGCAACAGGTAAGCGTGAAACTATAAAACGCCATATCGAAACACTGCAATCTGTAAACACCGCGGCTAACGAGTGCAAGCGCAAAGTTGAGGAACAGAAAATCGCGAGAAAAACAAGCATGAGCAAAATTTCCGATTGGAGCGACAGTGTTGAGGCGACACTCGAAGTAGCTGATTTACAGATTTCAAAGTTGAGCGATTGGTTAGCTGAAGAGAAACGTAACGCTAAGGCTGCAGGACTAGAGCAGCAACGTGAAGCAGAACTAAAGTTGCATGAACAGAAACTACGCATGCAAAGGGAAATGACCCCACCCAAACGGAAACTCAGGAATGCCCAAGTCGAAACGCAAAGCTACCGAAACTTGTGATTACGAAGTTTAATGGGTCATTTAAAGACTGGCCTAGGTTTTGGGGACAATTTACCGAAGGGATTGATAAGAGTTCCGTGGCCCCCATTACCAAAGTTACGTATTTGTTAGAATTATGGATCCAAAGGTCAAAACATGCGTCGAGTCCCTGCCCTTTTCAACCGAAGGTTACAATAGAGCCAAAGCCATTCTCCAAGACAATTACGGCAAGGAATCCGAGATTGTCAAAAGCTATATAAGAGAGATATAAGGGGTAAGCGCGGAAGGGATATTTCCAGTTGTTGTTGTGAAAGTTAATGGTGTAATGACTCGCGCACTTATTGATTCTGGCGCCGGCAGTTCCTATGCGTCCGCGAAACTTGTCAACGCGTTAAACATTAAACCCAGCGAAATAAAGAGCCAGCGAATAGACATGTTGATGACTTCGCAAACAAAGCGAATAGAAGTTTTCGATGTAGAAGTTAGTTCCTTGGACGATTCGTGCAAAATAAACGTGAGCTTGAACAAAGTTGAAAAGAGCGAGCTTCTGACAACTAGTAACCCCAATTACGACCAACTCGTGAGACGATATAAACATTTGAATTCGGTCAAAATGGACGAACGCGACACAAAGAGTGAGCTACCCATTCACCTCGTGCTGGGAAACGGCGAGTATGCTCGGATAAAAACAAGGACCAAACCCCTGGTAGGAAAGGACGGTGATCCCGTGGCGGAATTTACAAGGTTTGGTTTGATGATCATGAGTCCTGGAATCGAGTTGGACCAGAATACGATGCTACTGACCACAACATCTCAAAACGATTTCGAGCGATTGTGTCGGTTAGACGTCCTCGGTCTTGAAGATCCCACCGAGGAAGGCTCTCAAGCGATTTACGATGATTTTAAAGACGAGCTCACACGCGACAAAGAAGGCTGGTACGAGACTAGCTTACCGTGGAAATCGCATCATCCACACCTTCCGTCGAACGAAAGAGGAAGCATAAGGAGACTTAACAACCTGGTGAAACGTCTCGAGAAAAGAGGAATTTACAAAGATACAACGACATTATTCAAGATCAGCTCGTGAAAGGTATTGTCGAACCAGCACCTGCCACAGAAGGGTAAAGAGTTTTACATTCCCCACAAGCCCGTCGTAAAGAGACCGAGAGACGACGAAACTTCGGGTCGTTTACGACGCGTCCGCCAAAGAATCGGCATCTGATCCATCCTTGAACGAATGCTTGAACCCTGGCCCACCACTCCAGAACCACCTGTGGGATATTTTAGTTCGTCTACGTTTCCTCCCCATCGTGCTGACCGCTGATCGAGAAAGCCTTCCTGCAAGTCCGGATACGCGAAAACCAACGAATTCCCTACGCTTCCATTGGAAGGCACCAGATAGTGACGACCTCACAGTCTATCGGTTTACTAGGGCGCTGTTTGGGCTGACCTGTTCTCCCTTCCTTCTTGGAGGTGTCCTGAACGAACACCTAAAGAGTTGGGAGAAAAGATATCCGGCTCTGGTGGAAGAGATAAAAGGCGGCCTGTATGTCGATGATGTGATGGAGGGAGGTGATAATGTTGAAGAGGTCAAAGAGAAGAAAGCGAAGACGGTTAGTATTTTTGAGGATGCCACTTTCCACCTGCATAAATGGCACTCAAACGCCTCTGAACTCGAGGATACCGACCAGAGCGCCAATGAAGGCAACGTGGGCAACCCGGAAACTACCTTCGCGAAACAGCAGCTGGGCACAAAGGGGACTGAGACAAAGATCCTCGGTATGGGTTGGAACAAAGCTCAAGACCGTTTAAGTGTTGTAGTAAACAAAGAACGAGACGCAGCATCTACGAAAAGGGAGGCCCTGTCGCAGGTCGCAAGTGTGTACGACCCACTCGGCCTGGTTTCCCCAACTACCCTAGTAGCAAAACTACTGTACCGTGAAATGTGTGAAGAGCAACTTGCCTGGGATGAAGAACTTAACGGTTCTTTGAAGAGACGGTGGAAAGAGTGGTACGAAAACCTGCCAGGCCAGTACACGGTCCCTCGAACTTTAGCCCCTCACAGAGAGCCAACAGTCAATCACCCTTCACGGATTCGGGGATGCCAGTAAGAACGGAGTTTCTGCGGTCGTCTACGCAGTCGCAGAGCAAGAGAGCGGAACAACCCAAGGTATCGTGTGTGCAAAGTCCAGACTTGCGAAGAAGAGCCTCACGATTCCCCGTTTAGAGCTTGTCGCTGGTCATATGACCGCAAACTTAGTGACGAACGTCAACCAGGAGACGTGGCCACCGGAAGTTGTGCCTGTGGCGAGTTCGGATTCGAAGCAAGAGGAAAAACCGTCGACGCGAGTTTTGGTCACGATGAATCAAACGGCACACGAGGACGTGTTTGACCAACTACTAGAGCGGTATACGTTGCGGAAAACCCTTCGAATTTGTGCTTGGATTAACCGCTTCATTCAACACACCCAAAGGAAAGCGAAGTCCCTGGGACCGATAAAGACGCAGGAGATCGAAGACGCACGGTTGTGGTGGATTAAACGAGTTCAAGATGGAGCTAGGGACGCACCGGAATTCGAGAGTACGAAAATCGAGCTAAACCTCCAACCTAACCAGAACGGAATTCTAGAGTGTCGCGGGCGAATCGAAGGCGAGTATCCGGTATACTTGCCTGCAAATTCGCAGTTTTCGAAGAAACTAGTCGAACAAGCGCACATCATCACTCTTCACGGGGAGTACCGGCGACCATGGCTGAAGTTCGTGAGCGATACTGGATACCTAGACTACGTCGCCTTGTGAAGCAGGTACGAAGCAAATGTCATGGATGTGTGCGATTCCGCGCTCGTGCGTATCACAGACCACCGCCTGGACGACTACCAGTTACGCGAACGCAAGGAGAAACCCCATTCCAAGTGATAGGAGTCGACTTCGCTGGACTAATCAAATACAAAACAGCAGGAAAAGCGGAAAAGAAAGCGTATCTGGTACTTTACGCGTGCAGCCTCACAAGAGCAGTTCATTTGGAGCTGTTGAAATCATTGGAGGTTGTCCAATTTCTGCCTAGCCTAAAAAGATTGATCGCTCGAAGGGGGAGACCACAAATCATATACTCAGATAATGCCACTACGTTCAAGGCTGCGGCAAACTGGCTGAAAAAGGCAATTGGAAATGAGATCATAAACGGTTTCCTTACGGACAAGGAGATCCATTGGAGGTTTAACCTGAGTCGCGCACCCTGGTGGGGTGGACAGTTCGAGCGGTTGATCGGGCTCTTTAAACGATGTTTCTATAAAAGTATCGGGAACGGTAATCTAACCTTTGAAGAATTATCAGACGTGATCCTAGACATAGAAGTTGTAATGAACAATCGACCGTTAACATACGTTGAAGACGACGTAGAACAAACTGTTCTCACCCCCGCAAGAATGTTGCAGATAAATCCAGTTATCTTACCTGAAGTGGAATCTTATCACGTTGAGGACCACAGCCTTCGGAAGAGAGCGAAGTTTCTTCGTAGATGCAAGGATTTGTTGTGGAGACGGTGGTATAGAGAATACGTTCGTGGGCTAAGAGATCGACACCGACAAGATAATGGGAAAAACGCAGATCATCCCAACCGTGGTGATGCTGTTATCATCGAAGGAGAGGAGAAGAACAGAAATTTATGGAAGATGGGCGTAGTCGAAGAGCTGATTCGAGGGCGTGATGACGTAGTACGGGGAGCAAAGATCAGGACGCCAAATGGAATTCTTGACGTGCAATACAGCAACTCTACCCGATAGAACTTTCCTGTGACTTACCACCTCAACCACGTTAAACCCAGACACCCCTCCCTTCCAACCCGACCGAAACGTGATGCAGCAGCAGCGGCAGCGATCCGCTTACGGGATCAAGCAGAAGAAGATGAACGGTGACACTTATCCATTAGGACACTAATATTAGATTGCATTTAAGCTTGAATCAGTAGCACTAGCTCAGACCCTTTGTAGACATATATCACAGCACTAAGATATATGGGGGGAGTGTGTCGGGACTGAGCGACAACGGGGCGCACGAAATAATAGGTGATGACACGCACTGCACAGAAATGGGAAGCAATATGGGTAAAATAAGGGATCTGCACAAAATTGAGTCAGTTGGTGATAGAGGGTCATAGTGTGCGAAACGGTCTGTGACTCGAGAGACGCGATATTAATTCGACATAGCTGCAACGTGAATTTTGAGTGAAGATTTAGTATAACTTTTAATTTTATTTGTTAATTCAATATATTTCATAAACCCAATCGAATTTGTGTGAATTGAGACTTGTCGAGGACAAAACGATACTGAACGGAGGCTAATTCTCGACAACAGTAGTAAAAGTGGACTCCGTCAGAGCGGTCTTTTTTATGGTTACGAAAAAGACGATACCGGATGAGGCACTTATTGGAGGAATTATCACTTACAATAACACTTTCGAACATTGAAATTATGCAATCCTAAAGGACGGGAGGGGAAAGGCTCCAACACGCTTCAGGTGAATGTGACGCGCCCATAAATTGAAAAGAATCACTGTAAGCCGTGTGAGCACATCCCAAACTTAAATACATAAACAGCATGCATGGTGGAAATAAAGAAGTCACACATCAATGGGAACGGAATGATTATATAATTTACGTTCTTCTGTATTACTACTGATTGATTACATTGATTGCGCAGAAAATTAAGCTTCGCGTTTTGGGCCAAGAGAAAACGACACCTTAGCTTAGCTCTATTAACTTAGCAAGGAGATCACGATAGATTATCGTTTAAAGAAAAACAAAAGGATTTCCACCCGTTCGTTTAAGCTTTCTAAAACATCTCTTATACTAGAAGATGAACTACTTAACTATAATAGCTGCATTATCTCTCATTCAATATACTACGAGATCGGTTGTTCAAAAGCAAGCTGACCTAATTCTAGATTAACCGAAATCAAACTTTCCAACTCTTATATCATCATAAACATGCTGATCTCTAACATAAAAGGCCTTGCAAAAATACATTACCAAAAATCGCGATTTCATACAGATTTAACTCATGAAGTGTTATAGCGCCAATCAATTTCAAACAACCGATCATAACTGCGCAAATTTAAGGCATTACATTTGACGTGATATATGGTAATGCCCTATTTCATATATTTGGGCCCGCTAAATTTACGGTAATTAACTAATTCACTTTCTCAGGATTCGTACAGGTCAGGAAGAAATCCAGGAAACACTGCATGAATTCGAGGAATTTTTTAAACAGAAAATAGGGCGTTTGAAGTTCGCTAAAAGTGGTTTCAGACTGCGGCATTTATCGTGTTTGGATCAGGCCATCCAAACACGGAAACCATCAAGTGTTGAATTTTTAGTCATGAAAAAAGAATTAAAGTACTTTTCATGATACCTCTTTATGAGCTGAAGGACCACCATGAAGCATATTCATATATCCAAAGACTATCAATTTTTGTACGAATCCTGTATCGTTTATACGAGTGATCCGAAACTAAAGGTTGGTCATTAAGTAACTCGCTTATTTTTTGAGAGCAAAGGGTACATTTTTTCTCGCAGATAAAATTTCAAAATTGATTTAATAAGAAAATTTAAAAAGGATTGCATGATACCCAAAGAAAAATAATTACCAAGGAATAAAAGGAAATCAAGGAAAATGCGACAACGGAAAAAAATTTTGGCGTATCAGACAAATATGTCTCAACCAGAATTAACTTACTGGAAAAAAAATTATATCCTATTATACATGTTACTTTAATGCCTTATAATAACTGGCTATGTAATTGTGGCTACAATGTTAGAACGAGCACTGGGAGGTAGTGAATTAAAATAACATTTTTCATCATTACGTGAGAAAGAAATTTCCTTATAGTGAGTAAATAATAGCAGACAGAATAAAAACAAAACAAAATAAACACATATAACTCAATAATCGATTTAAAAAATAAAAGCCTATGTGAAGCCACCCTATGTGAAAGGCCACCAAAATAACCCGAGAGAAGTTTGCCCATAAAACTCCTGTTGTTGGACAGAAAATACGACAGACAGCAAAACACAGTAAGAAACATCTAAGAAACATAACTCTGAAGGGTGAAAGACATTGAGAATGAAAAATGACGAAAAATGTGAAAAAGCTCAGAAAATTGGAGCAGTACATAAAAATTAAAACATTTTGGCTAAAGTTATAACGTCCAACAGTTACTTTATGACCAGTTCCTTATATCACTCTTGAAACAGCTCAAATAAGCTTCTAGCTTTATATATATTCGCTAGTGTTGCTATTATTAAGCTGACGATGTTTTTATTCTATTTTATAGTAATCTTATATATACTAAACATGCAAAAGAAACAAATGGGTATTTTACAAAGAAATTTTAAGAAATTTCTAATTTTTATTATTTTTCACAGCAATAATACTGACCTTTAACTTACCGACTATACAGTTTCTCAGAAACTCCAGTTCTCTTGATAACTCCTGCACCAGGGCTTTTAACTCTTCATTTTCCTGTTTAAGCTGATTTTCCTGTTGACTCAAACGAGCTTTTTTCGACGGTTTGCGGACACGAGTTGTTTTGCCACGAGTTGTTTTGCCACGAGTTGTTTTGCCACGAGTTGTTCTGCCACGAGGTGGTGCCACGCGAAGTCCTTCTTCACCTACAGATGAAGCATCACCAGAAGCAACGGGATGTCCTTCTTCAACCCCCGATGAAGTACCATCAAAAGATGCGGGAAGGCCTTCTTCAAACGCGGATGACGTCTCAGACGTCTCACCAGAAGGCACGGGAAGTCCTTCACATGAAGCTACATCTCTAGAGCAACAGGGTTGTTGTTCCATTTTCTTAGAAACAGGGACAACAGCTTCGATATCTTCCCTGTCCTTTTCAAATAGTCTTTTTCTACTGTCAGGATTCACAATGGTGGTATCGTGGCTACCAAGAAGGGGAGGGGATATTTCAGCACTGGTGTACTCGTACGACTGGCTGGGAAGAGGGATGGTATTGTTTTTAAGAACGCATTCTGTGGCAGGATGATCAGCACTGCAATCACTATTACGCTCAACAGTCAGTCCAAGGCATTCAGCTGCCGTAACGAACTGAATGTTGTTGCGGGGTAAATTACCGACAAACACGCTGGAATTAGAGGTGCCCACGAGTATTCCGGAAGGAATATTTAGGGTTACATTAGGTACTGTAGTGGTTAAAGCAAGGTTCCTGATTGGTTGGAGAGTTCCTCTGTTGGGCTCTGAGACCAAATTGTCAGTCGTGGGCTCAGTGTTAAAAGAGTTCATATTTGACTCTGCTGACATTGTTGTCAGATTCATAATTTTTTCATGGAAGACTTGATTAGGTTCTTCCAATGCACCGAGCAAATTCTCAGTGGTCAATAGAAATTCGTCTTCAAATTCTTCTAGAATTCCTTCTGCGTCTCTTGGAACTGAGGAATTCCTAGTATTAATCCTGTGGATCTCACTGGGCCAAAGTGATTCCTCTTGAATTTCCTCGGCAATTTCGTGTGCAACAACGTTGTATGTATCTGAGGAATCCCTATTATCAGACTGGAAGATCTCAGAAGGCAAGGAAAGATCCTCTAAAACGTCGTAAAATGGAACGTGGCTTTGGCCAAATAATCCCGCATCATCAAAATTCCATATGTTATCCAGAAAATCATCTGGAAAAAAACCTACATTGAAAAAATATAATATTTCAATTTTTAAAATAATTTTACAACATTGGTAAATAGTCTCTTACTTAAGATGCCGCCTTTTGTTACAGTCGTGCCAATAGAAGCGTTCCGAAAAATGTTGACCAGTTCATTTCCTAACTTGAAGGAACACATCTGCACAATTCCTCAACAATTTAAAAAGTTCCTTAAAAAGTTCCTAACTTCCTGTTTCATTGACCAATCAAATTTTATATTTTATTTTTGAGCAATCTGAAACAGGAAGTTAGGAACTTTTTAAGAAACTTTTTAAATTGTTGAGGAATTGTGCAGATGTGTTCCTTCAAGTTAGGAAATGAACTGGTCAACATTTTTCGGAACGCTTCTATTGGCACGACTGTAAGTTTACCAAAATAATTCATTTTCTCCTTTTACCTTCGAAATTAGATAGATTGTTATCATCCTGGGGGGAAATTCCCGCCATATTTGTGGAGGTTCCTTCCTCCAAATTCGCCTTTTTGCCTTGAAAACGACTTCGCTTCTTGTTTTACAGGCGAGAGCAAGTTGTAGTCGTGTGGCGTCTGTGACTTGTATCAATAAACTACAATCTCGCTCAGAGTTCGCATTGTCATCTTTTGATAAAAACATGTCAGAATAGCCACAATTCAATTTGGAATAAGTTCTCTTCTTGGATGAAAATTTCTCCGAATAACTACAACCTTTCATGGAATACACGCTCTTCTTTGTTAATAAAGCCTTTCTTTTTTCACACCTCGATTTTTTCTTTTTCATTAAAATCTGCAACAAAATTTGTTATATCCAGTAAACATTACGTCGCAAGGATTTCGGAAATAGCTTAAGATACTCCAGTCCATACTTTAAGAACAAATCAAACAAACGGTAGAAGATTTCTTAGATTTATAAATATTACAAGAAAGCGCGTGTGATCATATCAATGGCAGGCCCGTCGGAAGTGAATTAGGATTGGGGGGGGGGGGGTAGGATTTTAACAAGTGACTACGTTTCAAGGGATTCGGGGAAGAAAGAGCATTTTCTCCTATATTTTTGGGTGTAAAATTTTAAGAACACGATCTCGTTGTGATCTCAGCGACTGCTTTTAGCTAACGCACAAAACTAAACATTAAAATAAAGCAAGGTTTGTTTCGCATGAATGTCAAGATTTATCGAGGCGGCTCCAGTCTGCCCAGCCCTCCCACGCGTCCGACGAGCTGATTACTGTCTACGTTTCGGACGGTCAAATTACCATTGTATTGTCATACGTATTAAAGGTGCAACTTCCTCTATACGTACCTTGTTTTCCAACGATATCAGGTGAAACGTCATTGAGAGATAAGAAGAAAAATGAAAGATGCAATTCTCATAATCCTGCCCGAATATAAAAAAAATAAAGTATACAAGGCGCTGTAAAAAAGCAACCAAAAATGGAGAGTATTAGCTCAAACTCCAAACAAATCCTGTCCGTGGACAGGTGGTATTTGTGGACCCTCCACCGTCGATATTTCACTCGGCTTCCCCTCTTCGACCGGTCTCGGGTCCACAAAACATAATAATTCCTTCCCTCGCGGTAAATAAGTGTTAAATATTCTGCAATCAAAATGTGCATAGATGATTTGAAGGAAAATAAATTGCAGTGAAGGTTAACTGATTATTGACCGAGCGTGAGGTCTTTCCTCTGAAATATCAGACCGGTAGAGGCTTTTTAATATGAATAAATATATGGCCTCACCCCTACTTAACGATCTTCGCGGCACCTGACCCTTTGTATACGACTTTTTTACTATATCATTTATGTTTTCTAAAACACATTAGTTCACTAGTATACCTATACAGGCAAATATAAAATGTAATGTTTCCCATTCTCACCTGGTTTGGCATCTTCACAATCACCTTCTTAATCAGCTCCTTCATCAGTTCATCCGACTCCAAATCCAAATCCAACATCGTCTCCATCTTCTTCAGCTCATACCTTATTTCCTCGTTTGGTCTCTGAATTTGCCAAATATAATAATTTCAACTTTATTTACAATATAGAAATATATGCATGCAGAAACCTCTTGCATCGGTTTAACTTAGTGACTTAGTGACTATTCGGATTCCAAAAATTATTCCCATGTTTTACGATCATGTTAAGGGCTCTGTGGACCTTCATCGTTAATTTTTTGAGTAAATTAATAACATGTATAAGTGAAAACGTAATAAGATATGTTGAAAAATTTGTGTGGGTTAGCATGTGAGAATAGAAAGTGCAGAAATATTTTTTCAGGAAGTGAGAGCACAGTGGTCATAGCAACTCGCAATGGCCGTCGTATTTTTCATAATTTATCTGTTTTTGTGGAAAAAGTTGCAGAAAATACAGCAAGATTATTATTGAAAATAAATTACCTAACTGCTGTCAGCGTTATGGTAAATTATTTTGAATTTTAACTGTAAAATATAACGTCAGACTTTTCATAAAACCTTTTTTGTAAGGCACCATATGTTGTTTTGATCTTGTTTTGCGCCTACTGAAACGGAGTTTGCAAATTGAATTATATATATTTAACAAATAAACCATTAGCACAAAGTCGTATATGGATTGGCGATCAACGAAGTAGACGAAAGCGAAGGGTATAATTGTTTTATAATATAGCTACTATAAATAGCATTTTATGAGCGAAATAAACATTGCAAAAAAATTAACTAGATCGGCTATTGATTTGCCAGTCAATCTTTCGCTAAATCACTGTGGCTGAATGTTTACATGTTCAATTAAATTTAAAAAAAACATATTCATTAACAAAAATCTGCATATATTGGTCATATAATGGTCATATATCAATTTTTAAGATCAAGCAATTATGGATTTTATTCACGTACCCATGATATAAAACCCCTACAATCCAGCTCCCTCGCCAGGTTCTTAACCAAACTCTCCATTACTTCCATCTTCAACTTTCTGATCTTAACCATCATCAGTTTTTCCGACTCCTGCTCCAAATCCAACGTCTTCCCCATCATCTTCAATTCATTCATGACGTCATATGTTTTGCATCTTTCCTAATTTTACCAAAGATAAATAATTTTAGATTGACTTTTTTTCCATAATCAATGACATCATTACACTGATATCATAGACGCATCTGAATATTACATAATTAGATCTAAAGCAGTGTACTACGCTTTTCCGTAATGATTAACGACGAAAATAACAACGCTCGAAAACGTTACCGTGTGCACATGGTCTAACCCTTTATTATATTAGCTTCGCGGTCATTGCGGTGTATTTGCGGGCTAAAATGATAAATTTGCCAGGCTGAAATATATTTAAGCCCGCTGATCTAAACCAATCAAGAGAATGACTAAAGTGTTTACCTATTGCATATTTTTTAATACATAAATTACGCTTAAAGTTATCGTGTAAAGTTATCAACTCTAATTTCAAGCAATCATATAGACTATACAATTCTATCCACATCGCAACGCACCGTTGACATCCATGACAAGATATCCTCACAATCCAGCTCCGTCACCAGGTTCTTCACCAGGTTCTTCATTACCTCCATCTTTAACTTCTTAATCTCCTCCACCGTCAGTTTGTCCGACTCCTGCTTGAAATCACACGTCTTCCCCATCATCTTCAATTCATTCATTACCTGCTCTGTCTTGTTTTTTCCCTAATTACACCAAAGATAAGTAATTTTAGGTTGACTTACTTTACATAATGAATGACATCATGCATGAGAGAAATGCAATATTACATATGAAATAATCAACAACCAGACGGTTCGTACAGCATAGGTAATGATTCACAACGAGAAGGTTCGTACTATTCAGTTATCAAAAGATATCTACATTGTATCAAACTAAATTATATTTGAATGTGATATTGTCTTAACGCCCTGTCCACACGATCTAAGGACAAGGGGAAATTTGCTGAATATGTTACATTAGCTTCAATTTTCTCTGATTTCAGGTAATGAAAGATACTACGCAATGATATTTACGTACCCATATGTAACGCTCATCATCCAGCTCTCCCGGCAACTCCCTCACCGCGATCTTCATTACCTTCATCTTCAACTTCTTAATCTCCTCATGCATCAGTTTATCTGGCTTATGCTCCAAATCCAACATGTTCTCCATCTTCTTCAAATTATCCATTGCGTCCATTGCCAGGATTGTTCCCTGATTTCGCGAAAGATAAATAATTTTCGATTCATATTTCTTACAATAATTAATAGCAATACAATTACATACATCAAATAAATGGCTGCGAAAAGTTGTAGAATAGCCAAACATACAGTACCGCAAAAGTTCAGAAAAGTATTCCTATAAATCAGTAAAAGTACTCGAAGAAGGCATAAAAAATTACTGTATTTAAACATTAGTCAACTCTTTTGTGTTCACTGTACGTCTTTCATCGAGAATACGGTTAATGTTCTCGTCAGAATCGTTAAATTCTTGATTTCAAACAAATTCCCGCCATTTTTTACTTTTTTTTTATACACAGAGTTTTCCGCGAATTGATCTTTACCGGTTAATATAAAAAAATCTGCCGCTGCAGCGAATACGGATGAGGTAAGTGCGACACGGAGAACTTATTGACAAGCAGACTAGTCCCTAGTTCTCCTTAGCGCGCCTTGCATTCTTGTGACGTAACCGGTTTCAACGCGCGGGAGAGAAATAGCCAAAATATTTTTAATTCTTGATTCAAAATGGCGGCAAGAAAATTTTTCTCAAGCAATACTGATCTCAAAATATTTGCATCAGGGACAAAATTAGGGAAAGTTTTTGAAATCTCAACATTTTGTGCTTATTGACACGGAGGACAATTTGATTTTCAGGTATATTATTGTAATTATTAAAAATAGTAGTGTGATAAACTTTCCGGTTTTGATTCGGAACGCAGTGGCTGGTACCATTCTGACTGACAAAGGCTTCAATCAACCAATGAAATTTTTGTGGATGTACGGTTTTATTTAGCACGTGGACGTAATGGAGGGTAATAGCTGGGTCAGTTAACTAAAGTTACACATTTAATCACAATGTTCGTTCGAGACATGCGCCCAGTAGCGTAGCCAGCCTGACGATTTGTCCCGCTATGCTAATATTTTGGTGTTCATTGACTGTGAAAACAATGAATTTCTAATTATTATTAATAATTATAATAACACGAAATTTACATAGCGGGACAAAATCGTCAGGCTGGCTACACCACTGTATGCGCCTGTATTGAAAAAGCTCACTCAAACTCGCACGTATTGAGTGTGGCATTGAAATTCTGTTATTACTGAATAATGTGGAAGTCGTTTTTGCATCAATGCGAATTTTTGATCAATCGGAAGATTTAAAGTGAGCTACTAAAAATCACCTAATGGAAAATAGCCTCAATATTATCGTTACGACGTGATTTAGATCACCCACTCAACGAGTTTAGTGTGAGGGGGCTTTTAGATTACAGGCGATGCAAGCCATCGTATTACCTATAAGCCCTACATATTGAAGTACCGCCGATCAACTCTGATTTCAGACAATTATGGATATTACTCTATTTTATTTACGTACCGATGACGAACCCCAACAAACGAGCTCCTCAGCCAGCTCCCTCAGCAGGTTCTCCATTATTTTCGTCTTCAACTTCTTTATCTCCTCTATCATCATTTTATCCAACTCCTGCTCAAATTCCAACATATACTCAAACTTCTCCAAATCATCCATTACACTCAAACCCTCGTGCACTCCCTGATTGCACCAAGAAATAAATTTAAAATTGATAATATTCCACAAAGAATAACAATATAATTAGATCAAATTTCTTAACGCTAATAAGTATCATGACTAAGAGGATAGATCGAATGCGATATTAGATTTGAAATAGTTGTGTTTTGAGCTTTTCTATAATAGGGACCTTAAAGCCCTAATTCCACGAGCTAAATTTTCAAGCGAAATGCGAAATATTTCGCCTGGTTTTTTTGAATTGTGAGCAATGAAGCAGAATTAGTTTATTCAAGTAGTCGAAATTCAAAAGAAACATATTTCGCATTTCGCCGAGAGAAAGCGCCGGTGGAATTAGACCCTAAGCATGTAGGACGCGAAAGCGACGACGACGGCTATCAATACAATGGGTCATTGAAAGGAAATGAATAATTAAAGACCTGTGATGGGTTTTAGACGTCGTCTTCGTTCTGTTTACAACCGCAAAACGTCTTGCCCAGAACGATTGCATTTACAGCGAGCCCTACCTCAATTAGGCTCTTTAACGGATTATATCTCACTAATTCGTTACGTTGAACAATTTCACAAAATATATCGCTGACAATTTTTCCAAAATACAGTACTTTACTTGTTAACTCAGCCGCTACTAATTCCACTTTAAAAAGAGGTAACAATCAACGGACGGGTTTGCAGAATCGATAAAAATCAACTCTGATTTCAGGCAATTATGGATATTTAGCAATTTTACCCACGTACCCATGAAAAACCCTCACAATCCAGCTCCCTCGCCAGATTCTTCACCAGTTTCTTGACTACAACTATTTTCATATTCTCAATCTTCACCATCATTAGTTTGTCTGACTTCTGCTGGAAATCCAACGTGTTCTTAATCTTTTCCAATTTATTCATTACATTCCATACGTTGTTACTTTTCTAATTTCACCAAAAATAGGTATTTTGAGATTGACAAGTTTTTCCATAATCATTACACTTATATCATATGTGCATCTGAATGGCCGAGAGAATTGCAATATTACATATAGGAGTGTGCTAAACTTCACTGTAATGATTTAGAAAAATGAGGAGGTTGGTTATTTGAATGTGCTTATCGTCTTGACGCCCTGTCCACATGATCCAAGTGAAAATTTGCTCAATATGTTAAATTAGCTTCAACTTTCATTGTAAATTAACGGTGTTGAAACCGTTTTGGTTTGATAACGAAAAAAAAACGCCCGAAAACGTTACCGTGTGCACATTGTCTAATCCTTTATTGTTAGTGGTTAGCCTAGGGTTGGAGTCTGCTTTAGGATTAAAGTTAATATGATTATATTCCTGGTTTTTGGTTATGGAATCACTACAAGCCCCGTCATTTCCTCAAATTACTCAACGGTATTGGTGAAGTAATAATCAAGAGAATTTCTAAAGATTTGTGCAGCGTGAAATTTGTACTGATCAAATAACTATTGCGTCGAATACATATCAACATGTTTATGTGTTAACTCGAATATGAAACAAAAAATTAAACAAAATCACAAAATATATCGCTGGCTATTAGTGCCAACTCAGCTGCTGCTAATTCCAGCTCACAAATAGGCCTACATATTGACAGACAATTATGGTCCGGCATATTACGCAATTCTATCTACGTACCAATGAAACGAAACGCTCACAATCCAGATCCTTCGCCAGCTTTCTTACCACGATCTTCATTACCTCCACCTTCAAGCTTTTAATCTTAGCCACCATCAATTTGTCCGACTCCTGCTCCAAATCCAACATCTTTCCAATCTTCTCCAAATCATCCATTACGCTCAACCCCTTATGCACTCCCTGATTAAACTAAAAAATATTTTAAATGGATAATGTTTCAGGATGAATAACACTAATATAATTAGTTTAAATTTCTGGATGCTATTTAAATGGCTGAGAGGAATGCAATATCACATTTGAAACGGCAGTGTGTTAATATTTTCTGTAATGACTGGCAACGGATGCAATAGCTACAGGATGATCAAATGAATATTCAATTATGTCAAATACATATCAAAGATTTACCAACATATAACTGGTATATGAACTCGAATTTCAGGTAATTTATTAAAACTAAAAGCAATTAATACATGAATTCACAAAATATATTGCTGAATATTTTTCCAAAATGTTGCACTAAAGCTACTTGTTAACTCTAAGAATCAGCTCACTTGATCTTGTCAACTACTAATATTCCACTATGAAATGAGGTAATAAATTACAGTAACGTACACAGAATCAATTAAAAGCTATTGTATCACCTATAATTAAGGCCTACATTTTGATTAGAACTGCCAACTAAGAAACAACTCTTCTTTTAGGCAATTGTGGATATTATGAAATATTATTTAACATACCAATGAAACGAATGGCTCACAATCCAGCGTCTTCACCAGGTTCTTCATTACTTCCATCATCAAATTCTTAATCTTCTCTATCACTGTTTTATCGTGATGCAACATCCTCTCCATCTTCTCCAATTCATCCATCCTTGTTGACACCTTGTTTGTTCTCTAATTTCACAAAAATAGGCAGTTTTAGACTGATATATTTTTCTTATATTAAGATATAATATATTAATTCAAATATTGCTGGATGCTAAATGGCTGAGAGGAATGTAATATATATTACATTTGAAATAGCGAAGTTAATTGACTCTCTGCAATTTGGCAATATATGCTATCTACGTACCGATAGACAAAAACACCATGCCAGATTCAAACTCTTAATCTCCACATTCAACTTCTTAATTTCCTCTAACATCAGTTTATCCGACTCCTGCTCAAAATCCAACTTCTCCCCCATCTTCTCCAATTGATTCATCATCTTCTGTGCATCATTTTTTCCCTGATTTCACAAAAGATATTGGTACACAACTTTAAATCAATAACTTTGCACAATCAATGACATTAGAATGCAATATTTTAGATTATTTCTTTCCTTTGAATGGCTATCCCGATGTGCATGTGGTCACATTTAGCATGTTTATATACAAAGTGCAAGATAAACCATAAGACAGTGTAACAAATTACGTCAGACTTAAAATAATAACAGTGTTTGAAGACATGTGATATTTTGGGGGACTTATACCCTTTTGAAGATTCCATTTTAACACCTAACCATCCAAGTGTAGGTGCCCTTTAAAAGGTGCCAAATATTGCCCTAACGCCAAAAACTGTTTGATATTTTGTAATATTTTCGCTCATAAACTCCCAGCATGATACTGACTTGTGCATGACTACATATATCAATTTTGTTTCATAATTTTATACTGACATGTTTCTTACTTTCTGGTAAACTAGTATTTTTGTAATTCTCATCAACACCGTCGTTCCATCTCGTTTTATACCATCCATCTCGACCATAACCTCGCAATCCAATAAAGGATACGGTGATTAGGATCCTGTGTACAAAAAATATTTATGTACAGTGGATAATAAACCTTCGCTCCTGAGAACTTCGACACTCTTGTAAACGAGCACAAGGATTTTCAAATAGCCAATAAACTTTGCAAAGTCACTTCGTCGTTTCAACGAAATGACAATGGAACTATTCGGTTCTGCTTTTATAACTCCAAGCTAGGGCGGAAGTGTTTCAATTTCATTTCATTGCAATATTTTGTTGCGTTCGGATGCAATCACGAGCTGCAATCGTCACTGACCTGTGTATGCCAAATGGACTGACGGTAAGTCATATTCATCATAATATTATATATCAACTGTAAATCATCCAATCAGAAAGCTCGATTTGTACCGTGTGATCAGTAAATTAATCATGGAGTTCCATCGAATTTTTTCACATTATGCTATAAAAGCTGCGTGTACCACGCGTGGATGCCTCGCACACGACTCGAGGTTGTCAACAAACAATTACAAAATGGAGGCAAAAGAAGGCATTTCACCCAGCTTTCGCGCTGCCTAAATGTTGTTTCGATATAATATATAATTTATAGACCTTCCGCTCGGGGAATTCGACGAAATATTACCCCCTCGGGAAGATATATCCCTCGGGCGAAGCCCTCGGGATATATCTTCCCTTGCGGGTAATATTTCGTCGAATTCCCCTCGCTCCACGTCTATAAATGATAAATATTATATCTCAACTGTAAATCATCTAATCAGAAAGCTCGATTTGTACCACGTGATCAGTAAATTAATCATGGAGTTCCATCGAATTTTTTCACATTATGCTATAAAAGTCGAATGCGGGGTATTCGACTTCGAATACGTGTACCACGCGTGGATGCCTCGCACACGACTCGAGGTTGTCAACAATTTCAAAATGGAGGCAAAAGAAGCCATTTCACCCAGCTTTTGCGCTGCCTACACGTTGTTTCGATATAATATATAGCTTAACATCGTTTCGAATACTCATACTCAACAATATATAGCTTAACATTGTTTCGAATACTCTCGGGCGAAGCCCTCGGGATATATCTTCCGTCGGGGGTAATATTTCGTCGAATTCCCCTCGCTCCAGGTCTATAAATGATAATAGCTAGTAAATGTATATGTGATGTTGCTACTCTGAGTCACCAACCGGGCAAGCTGAAAAATTAGCTTGACCACGGTGGGAATGGAACCCGCGACCTTTGGTTTGCTGGTCCGGTGCTCTTCCGGGTTTCCAACTGAGCTACAAGGTCAAGACGGTTTGCAGTATCTCTATATAGCTACTGATGTATATGATAACAACTGAATGGGAGGTCTTAAGAAATACCTACAATTTGTTGTTTGAACGCTTTTTAATTCAGTCAAATATTAATATGTTTTGCGAAACGATGTTAATCTGTTTCAAAGCCCCAAAATCTATAAACTACGTTGCATTATAATATTCTTGTATGTTTTGCATGGTGACAGTCGATAAGTAACGTTCGACGGAAGTCGATAAGTAACGTCCGTTAACGGAGGACCCGGGTCAACGCAGGGACCGCCGAGCAGGCTGGCTCGCTGGGCTTTAGCCCCACCAATAATTTCTCCGTAAATTAGTCTTTAATTTCGAATATTTTTTAGTTCGCTCAAATTTACAAGCAATATTTTTAGCAATTTGTATTTTTTGGTTACAAGTATATGCAATGTATCTTATCTTGGATACTATCGAAACTTTTACTTCTTCAACGTATGATTTAATAACCAAACAAATGAGTATTCTAATTTCCAGCGATAATTGTCGTAATAAATCCGCCATGTTTACTTAAAATTGTGTGGAATGTCAGTGCCAGGAATGAATTTGGCACGAAGACAGATCCACATGGTAAGTTAACTAAGTTTCGTGTCACTATGTCAGTTTACTTCATACTCTTCGTTACCTGATGAACCAAGTGATTCTATAGTTTTGACAGCTCACAGCACCTGGGACAAAAATAACTTTTGAATGAAAATGAACTGAGTTATGCATGGTTATATTTGGTTATACCAAAAAGATAAGAATTTTGTACAGTAATATTCGCCTGATGAATTAGCCTGATGACCGGGAATCGGCGTGTGTTATTCCCTTGCTTATATATATACTATTCGTGCCCGTGCGCCGGGGCAGGGGTGTCTTAACCTCTATAATAGCTGGGCTAAAGACCACGCGTGACTGCTAGCTCAGCAAGTTACTCTCGTGTGCGGATAGTTTTTCGTCAGGGGTTTGCTTCGAGAGGCGGGTTTCTCATTTGTGAGGGTGGTTTTTGGGCTGAGCTGCCTCGCGAGGTCTTATAATTAGCTCACTTGATAGCTCTCGTGTGCGTGGGGCTTTAACAAAGGTAAAATGGAGGACCTAGATAATTATAGACCAATTTCCATCCTCCCCGACCCCATAGTCTCATGCAAAGCTGTCGCAGAGAGCTGTTCATAGGCAATTAAATTAGTGACTATCTATAAGGGAACAAAATATCTTAACTCTTAAGCCCTTATCCAAGTGGATTTCGAAAAGATCACTCTACAGAGTTGCAGCTCTCCCTTGCTGACACAATTCGGAGACACATTATGAACAATGACAGCGGGGATTTTCGGACAACGTTTGAAAGAGCACCATTTGTTAATTGTTACTAAATAAACTCTCCGCTTTGGGATTTGTGAACCATGAGTATGCATGGACTTGGTTTGAAGACTGTCTACAACAAAGAGCTGAAAGTGTCGGTTATATCAAGTGTATTTTCCGAACCTGAGCTTATTACTGGTGTCCCGCAAGGCTCAATACTTGGCCCAATGTTATTTATTTGTGCTTGATGTTAGCGACCTTCCAAATATTATACGTAACTGCAGTATACTATTGTATGCGGACGACAGACGACAGTATCCTATTCTTGGCTTTTCTTGCTCAGACTCAAATGTCTAAGCAATCCAAGAGCAGTTGGACAACCTTGTTGAAATAAAGGTTTATTCATTCTAAGCCGGGCATGTCCTAATTATCGCAAGACACGATCTCTCAAAATTAATTGAAAAACATTATTATTGCAAAAAATTCATTCTATAATTTCAGGAACTCAAACTGAGCTTGGACATGGTGAAAATATATGTACTAAGAATTCAGGGATACCCCATGCACATAATACATGTACACAACGCACCTTATAGCTTTACCCTGCGATATAATATGTACATATGTGCAACGCACATTTGTGGCAAACGAAACGAAATAGCAGACTCCATTTCTCGTTTTCAGCTTCATGCAGCGATTCCGTCAACTGCCACTGCAGGCGGATATCAACCCATGTTTGGTCCCCGAAATAATGCTTGCAATTTAAACGATGATATTCAACGCTATATATAAATCTTTCCGTTGCCACAACAACTAAGCAGACCTACAGCGCAGGCGAAAGAAGTTTTAAGCACTTTGTAAATTGGTTTAGGGGACAAAAGGTCGAACATTGTCTCCCTGCCAACGAATCCCTTTTGACAGAATACGTTGCATATTTGGACAGAACTATCAAGTATACATCGATCAAAACATATTTGGCCGCCGCCATTACAAAAAATGCTGCGGCTGCAACTTGTACTACCGGGTATAAAGCGATCGCAGGGGGATAAAGTTCGACTTCGCTTACCGATCACCATTTATCACTTAGATCTCTTCCGCACGTTGCTTGTTTCCCTAGCACTACAAACTATGACTCCATTATTATCCGGACAGCTATGACTCTGGCATTCTTTCATTTCTTTAGCTTTCTCCGTTTGGGGGAGCTAACAACAAATTCGAAATTTAACTCTAGTATACACCTCACGAAAGATAATATCGCATTTCCCCAAGCTACAGCAATGGTCCAGCCCAGTCATATGACAGTTCACCTATAAGCCACACTGGCCACGTACTATTTCAAAATTTTGATTTCCTATTTTTTTTTGGGGGGGGGGGGCTCCTTCGTTTATAGGGATACACATTCAGTGTATTGTGGGAGGAAGCGCTCCTGATTGTCACGTTCGAGCCCATAGACTCAGCATTAAGTTATTGTATAATTATAGATCAGTCGAATCGTATACTGTCCAACACCGGCAACACAATTCGTCGAGCCAACCGACCCTCCTACCATGCAGTAGTTCCCCCATCCAGATTTCGACTAAGGGTGCATCCCCACCTACAACAGATCTAGAGGCATCTACAGAAAAAATTACTGAACCCAAAACTGTCCCGTGTTTTCCCTTACGCAAGATCTCTAGACCTGCGTGAAGGTCTGATTCCAGCTAAGGCTAGGCTAAGCATAGCTATTTATTATAAAGCATGCAACTTTCCATTTGAAATTTGTTAAACCTGTAGTCTGAAAATCCCATCTTGGGTCTCGGAGTATTTGAGTCATTCAATTGGAAATATTTGAACTGAAATTATCAATAATCACCACGAAACCGCGATTGAAATTTGTTAATAATTAGTTCATTAAAAACGTGCAATATACTTTAAATAGTCGAAGTGTTTGGATTTAAGGATTTCAGGTTTTCTACATTACCACGTGTTAACGGGAATGACATTTTTCAATCCGACTTGCGTTTTCCTCATGAAATACAATTAGAAAATACATTCGAAACCACTTCCCTGCATGCATTGAGACACCATAACAGTAAGTTGTAGATTTTAAATTGAAAGAACGGTTTGAAGAACGGTTTTAGGCACGAGGCATCAGCAGATCTCGTAGTTCTTTTGAACATGTATATGTAAATAGTCGTATTCTTGACGCGTATTACTGTACCTCAGTAATAATAAAATGCGTATTATTGTGCCTAAATGATCGAGTGTTTTGTAGTTTGCTCTAAATATATCGCTAGTTTGTGAGGTAGATTATCTTTGTGTCTAGTGTAAGTTTGTATGTCACTTGGCGTGCACGAGTCCCTCATGTAAGCCGGTGTTAGGCGAGGATGAAAGCATGAACTATAGCTATACCTACAAATAAAGTACCTTAAAAAAGTATTTCAATTTGTAGTTTGTTTTGTAATTTTACTGATTTGTAGAATTTAGAACCGTTTGTTGTTGTTTTACCCAGCAGTGGTCCAAAATAAAATTCAAAAATTGCGTATCGGCGGCTAACGGTCCGCGACTTGATTTTCTTTGGCAAAGCCTGTTATTCTGAATACGGGTTTGGACAACGTTTGTTGCGTTGGTTCTTTTTGTGTTTTCCCCTATTGCTTTTA